ATACACATAAACCACTTTTATAGAGCTGCCAATCCCAACTGCTGTAATCTAAGCGATATAATGATTTATTCCGATGGCAAAGGTGCGAAAACAAGACGAACAAAAATCCGTGCGTTACATAAAACAATAAGTATCGTATGAATAACAAACACACAAACAATGAGACAAGTGAAAAGAAAAAAAAAAACTTTCGTTCCTGAATGACAAGGAGGAATAACAAGCTACAAGGCCACCTCTTCGGGATCCCTCTCCAAGGTCACTCTCCTACCCTCTCTCTCTCTCTCCTTCCTCAATCCGCCCCCTCTCCCCCTCCCCCCCTCTCCTCTCTCTCTCCCTCTCTCACTCATACAAACACAAAAAACTCTCTTCCTAGCCCCCCGATTCTCTCCACACGCAGCTTCCTTTCCTTTTAACATCTGTAAGTCACTCAGCATTTCATCCCTTTTCCTTCTAAACTCCTTCCACCCCCCATGTTTACTCTCCCTGCCCTTCCCCTCATATCTCCCCCCACCCCACTCCCCGAGCGCCCCCGCAACCGAACGGCCTCCCTCTCCCCGCGCCGTCCGGGCACTGGTTCCGCCACAGGAACCATCACCGCGTCCGCCGCAGCCACAGCCGCAGCCGCCGCCGCCGCCCCCATTCAACCAAGATGACTTGACTGTCGCCGGCTGGGCCTCCCGACCGGCCCAAACAACAGCCGAACTGGAAGTTGACAAAAGCGAAGCCAGAAGCCCAAAACAACAACAGGAAAACCAACAGCAACATTCACCGGGCGCCGCATCCGCCTGAGGGGAGCTCCGTATCCTTCGCACCCCCGCCTCCCTTCCCTCCTTCCCAAGGCGGAAACGCTCTTGGCTTTCGGAGGGAGAGGGAGGAAGAGGGAGATGAAAAGAGAAAGAGAGAGAGACGGGGAGATGAAAAGAGAAAGAGAGGGGGAGAGATGAAAAGAGAAAGAGAGAGAGGGGGGAGATTAAAAGAGAAAGAAAGAGAGGAGGGAGATGAAAAGAGAAAGAGAAAGAGGAGGGAGATGAAAAGAGAAAGAGAAAGAGAGGGGGGGGGGATGAAAAGGGGAAAGGAAGGAGAGGGGGAGATAAAAAGAGAAAGGAAGATGAGGGAAAAAGAAGGTGGTTAGGAAGAGCAAAAATGGATAAGGAAGAACAGGGAGAAGGTGGTACAGGGAGAGAGAGGGGAAGGAAGGGGGTGGGGAGAGAGAGAGAGAGAGAGAGAGAGAGAGAGAGAGAGAGAGAGAGAGAGAGAGAGAGAGAGAGAGAGAGAGAGAGAGAGAGAGAGAGAGAGAGAAAGAGAGAGTGAGAGTGAGAGTGAGAGAGAGAGAGATAGAGAGAGAGAGAGAGAGAGAGAGAGAGAAAGAGAGAGAGAGAGGGGGAGGGAGGGAGGGAGGTTGTGATCCCTTCCCATTACCGCCTGTCTTATCTAGCCCCGGGACAGCGTCCGTGGCATTCTCTTTCCTCCAGCCGACCCGTTCTTTAGGACGCCCCCCCCTCCTTCTCATCGGCGGGAACCCGGTGCCCTTCCCTGGGCAGTACGTAGCGAACGCCCTCCCGGTCGGAAGTGGGAGCGCAGGAGCAAGTGCCCTGTCCTAAGGGAGCCCCAAAACGATGAGGGGGGGGGGTGCACCGAGCCTGACCCTGGTGCCAGTGAAAGTGAAGGTCGCCTGGCGAGGCCCCACGCCACCTGCCCCCACGGGCCCCGCTCCTTCACCCTTGCCATTCATGTCGCATCCTGCATCCCCCCCCCCCTCTCCTGGGCCACCTGACATCCCAAAGAGCGGCGTGCGCCAGCTGCGACGGGAAAGCTTATGAACACCAGATCATCATGCCAATTACCGAAACCGCAACATGATCGCCCCCTCTCGCTCTCTCTTTCTTCCCCTCCTCCCCGAACGCCTCGCCCGCCGCCCCGGCCTCCCTCTCTCCCTTTCCCTTTCTCTTCCTCTCAGTCCTATTCTTCTAACCACCTCCGCAGAGTCCTCCTCCCAAGGTCGAGGCGGGGCGGCCTGCGCCCCACAGATGATCCAAATGAAACCGCTCTTGATACAGTTAGCGCTCCTGCGCCGGAAGGGTCACGCCCTGTGCGGTTTACCCAATCTCTCCAGACGAAAGAATATTCCCAGTGCCCTATGACGTCATCCAGCGTGTGATATGAGCGTACGCTACCTGCGCCGCGGCCCGCCCCCCTTCCGGAGCGCGGCCGAGAGGGAGCGAGTGCCACGAAGGGACAGTCGACCGAAAAGCCTCGCCGGCACCTGCGTCACTAGTTGCCGGCCGCCTCTTCCGGCCGCGCGCCGAATGCCTTGCGAGTTACGTAACCGAGGGAAGTGGGGCGGCACCCGGGCTCTGCCCAGCCCTTACCTTGATCCACTCTGTCGGGAATCCAGCTCGGATCTTCCCGCCCGCTCGGGCCTGGAAGCCAGGCGAGCGGGCGCCGTGCCAAGCGGCCCGGCGGCGACCTGGCCTGCTCCGCGGTTGAGGCCGCTGGGACG